TTCTTCTGCAGAATTATCCTGTTCTTTCATTTGGGATTTGTTTCTTTGTTTCACTATTTTGGCCGTCTCAGTGAGTTTTGGAGCCTGCCAAATTTTCCCTGTGGGTGTTAGTGTTCTGCTAGTTGTGGTTCCCTCTACTGAGTTTGGATGAGTGTGGGAAGACCCATGTTAAACACCACTGTCAGGTCTTACATTCCTGGGTAGATTTGCAAGTACAGGAAAGGTTCAGTTATCCTCCAGCTTTTTGCCTGGAGCTATTAGTCTCAGTTACTTGATGAGCCTCAATTAGTAGCCCTGCTGCAATCTCGGTTTGGCATCCTCTCTGTCCCTAGTTGCACTGGCTCTCCTTCAGCTGCTCCTCAGTTGGATTTTCCCAATGTTCTGTCTTTATTTCAGTTGTAATTCCAGTTTGGTCCTGGGAGATAGTCTGTATAGCTTCCATTCACTCTGCTGCTATCTCTGTTCTTCCAGACCCAAACATCTCTAGTTTCTCTCCACCTCGTCTGCTATGCCAGTGGCTGCCCATGGCCCCTGTCTTGTATCCTCAGAGAGCATCTGTGGTGGCAGTGGCCAGACCCTTGCTTGCCCATGGCCCTCACTTAGGGTCAGTCATATGGAGATGCCTAGATTTATTCTTTAGGTACTCTGTATTTTTTGAGATTATTATAAATTGTTTCTTTTTAAATGTCATTTTCTTATTGTTTGTTACTGGTGAATAGAAAATGAATTGATTATTTTTTAAGAATAGTTTATTGATTTTTAGAGAGAGAGGAAGGGAGAAGAGAGAAACATCAATGTGAGAGCACAACATCGATCATTTGCCTCCAGCACACCCCCTACTGAGGATTGACTACAACAACAATTGGGCATGTGCCCTGACCTGGGAATCAAACTAGCAACCTCTCAGTACACAGGATGATGCCCAGCCAACTGAGCCACACTGGCCAGGGCACAACTGATTTTTATATATTGAATTTACATACAGCCAATTGCTCTTCTCTCTGATTTTAATAATTTGTCTGTTAGTTATTTGGGTTTTCTATATACTCAATTATGTCATGTCCCAGTAATAGCAAAACAAATTATTTCCTCCTTTCTTAAACCTCATATTTTTTTTCTTCCCTTACGCCATTGGCAGGTCTTCTAAAATAGTATCGAAAAAGGGTAATGATAAAAGGTATTCTTCATGAAAAGAGAAATCAAAGATGGGAATTGCTAGAAAAAAGATCAGATGAAATTGTAAAATATATAGATATTAAAAATGACATAGAAGAAAAGATAGCACATTTCCAAGAAAAGCAAAGCCAGGTTTATATACCAAAACATGTGGTAAAGTAACTGCCTCTCTTAGCGATCACAAAGAATAGTAAGCTGCTTGTTCCAGGCTACTAGTGTTGACTTTGTTTGAAGGCATTTTGTCTTGGTCAGTATGCAAGATTGCTCCCATGTCGTCACATGTTGTATTATGTGCAGATGTTCTAGTTGAACAGCTTATGTAGAGGAGCTACAGCAGAGACCATTGAAAAGGCAGCTTTGCCCCCAAAGAATGGATTCCTATTGATTAGGACTCAAATCTGTATATGCTACCTACGAAAGATAAAATGGCCCTTTAAGAAATGTATTGACAGTTGGTTATTCCATAAGTACAATTCATGTCCTGTTGATGGACAAGTTATGTTTCGTCCTTTAATCTGGAAAGAAACAGCAGTTAATGGACACGTACATCACTCTGTTTCAAACATAGAGATCACTCATCTGTCAAGACAGGAAGAACGAGGACTTTTTATTTCTAGTACTGGATTAGTTTTAAAACAAAATAGACTTGGAATTTTGCCTAGCATCCATCAACATAATTCTGAAAAGTTGAATACACCTCAAAGTTCCACAGATATCAACCAGAAAATAACAATAGATGATCTGTACTCTTTCAAATTAGATGATTCAAATGCAAGAAAATTAATTTATGAATATAAAATTAGGCAACATTTCCCCACGTATCTTCACGATTTACCCAGTGGATCCTTTGAGAAAATATCATCTTAAGCTTTTCTTCCTTCTATTGCTCACAAGAATATTATAGGTCCCACTGAACGGAACGCCCACGTATCAATGATACTGGTCAAAGCCAGAAGATGACCAAAGAATATAAACATATTAACCACAATCTAAAGAAGATTCTTGGTACAATTTAAGAGGAAAATAGGAGATCAAATACTTCCAGGAGATTTAAATCTTATTGTCAAATTGAGGAACAACTAAACTTAGTTTGTCTAAAGGTATGATAATTGTATAGTGAAAATTAGACATAAATGTCATCATCTATCAAGAACATCTGTGTCTCACCCTTTAATAAAAATTAGTCCTGAGCTATCTTTAGTATTGGTGGGGGGAAAGGTGTTCTTGTTTCTGATTGCAAAGAGAATGCTTTCAGTATTTCTTCATTAATATTTCTGTGTTGATATAATCATATTTTTCTACTAATCTGTTATTGTGGTAAATTATATCCATTGATTTACTAATATCATCCCAGTCTTGCTTTTCTGGGATAAAACTATCTTGGTCATGATGGGTTATTCTTTTTATACATTTATGAATTGTGTTTGTTGATATTTTGTTAAGATTTTTGTATCTTTGTTCATGAATGAGATAGGTCTATAGTTTTCATTTATTGTACTGCCATTGTCAGGTCTTAATATCAAAATTATGTAAGCCTTGTAAAGAAAATATTGGGGCCAAGGTATATGCTCTACTTCTGTACATTGGAATAGTTTGTATAAGAAAGAATGTAGGAATATCCAGGTATTTGTTTGTTTATTTATTTTTTTATTGGGTTGGGGGGGGCATTGATATGTTGTTTCACTTTTTTTTTTTTTTTTTTGGTACGTGCCCCTAGCGGGAACCAAACCCAGGACTCTGGTCTGCAGGCCGCGCTCCAACCGCTGAGCCAAACTGGCCAGGGCTGTTGTTCCACTTATTGATGCATTCATTGGTTGCTTCTTGTATGTGTCCTGACCTAAGACCGAACCCACAACCTTGGCATGTTGGAACGATACTCTAACCAACTGAACTACCTCGCCAGGGCAGGTTTTTATTTCTTTTTGCTTCTGTTTTGTTAACATTCTATGGGACTTTTTAAATTTTCAAATCTTTAGACTAATGTTGTTCATGAAATTGTATTATCTTTTAAATCTAGAACATCTAAAATTATGGCTCCATGTTTATTCCTATCTTTATTAGTTTATACCCTCTTTCTTTTTCTCTTGAAAAATCTTCTCATAAGGTTATTGGATTTTCCTATCTTTGGAAGAAAATATGTCTAGCTTTTTGTGACCTGTACTTGCTTGTATTCTATGTATAACTAGTATTATTTTAATAATTTTCTTTCTTCTAATTTCTTAAATTATTAGCTTATTAAATTTCAACCTTTAAAAAAAAATAGCGTTAAAATTTTCCTTTAAATAGTGCTTTCACTGTCTACACATTTTCATGTGTGATATTTTTATTATTTAGTTCCAAATATTTTATAATTTTACATTAAATTTTTTCTTGTGCCCTGGCTGGTTTGGCTCAGAGGTTAGAGCGTCAGCCTGCGGACCGAAGAGACCCGGGTTTGGTTCCCACTGAGGGCGCGTACCTCAGTTGCAGTTTGTCCCCAGCCCTGGTTGGGGTTGTGTGGGTGGCAACCACTCGATGTGTCTCTCTCATGTCGAAGTCTCTCTCTCTCTCTTCCTACCTCTCTCTCTCGCTCTATCTGAAGATAAATGCAAAAATGTCCTCGGATGAGGATTAAAAAAATTCTTTCTTGTACCATGAATTAATTTCTTAATATATAGGTTTTTTTTCTAGTTATCTTTTTGTTTCTGCTATCTAATAATTACACTCTTGTCAGAAAATGCTTTATTATATAATATTAAGTCTTTTGAAATTGTTGAGATTTACTTTGTTTTTGGTCTAGTATATTGTTAATTGTTCTAAATGTTTCATGGATACTCTAAAACAAAACTAGGTTTTGAAGTTGCTAGCATAATGGTCCTTCTGTATGTTTATTGTATCAAGTTTGTTCTTTGTGTGGATCAGATCTTCTATATCATTACTTCTGAATGCTCTAACTGTTGGTTAACTGATAGAGATATGTTCAAACTCTCCCACTATTGTAGATTGCATTCTTCTTGTAAATATTGCTCATGTGTTTTTAATCTACATTACAGGGTACAAATTAGTTTAAATCTGGTATATGCATTTTAATATAAGAAGGAAGCTCACATTTGGATTATAGATTATTTTTAATGACTCTGATTTTTATGTTTCATAAAACATGTAAGAAACCACACTTCAGACAAAAATGATCTTACTGTCCTATTTATTAATTCAGGGTTTGAAATATTCTTGTCCCTTGACCTTGTTAAATCATTTCTGGGATGCTTTTCAAAAGAAATAACCAGTAGATAAGAAGCTTTATGTACCACAATTACATAGTTGTGATGGTGAAAAATAAAAAACATATATTCTAACAATAGAAGTGTGGTTAAGAAGTTGTGGAACATCTACATGATGGTATATTATGCAGCCATTAGAATAATTTATAAAGAATTTGTAATAACATTGTAAAGTGATCACAGTGATGCATAAATAAAGCAGAATATACATGGTGATTTCAATCACTTTAATGATAACTATAGGAAAATATCTCTAAATAGTAACACTGGTTAGTGAAATTTGGTATTCCTCTTTCCTTTCTACTTTATTTGTATTTTCCATATTTTTTACAATGTTTACTTTTTAAACAATTAGATTGGGAAAATAAACTAAAAAATATGTCCCAACAAATACATTTCTAACTAATATTTGAATATACATGATTGTTCTTTCTATGTTATGTTGTTATTTAGTTGATATTTTTAAGATAGAAAACCATTTAAGGTGTGTGATATGGATATAAAGAAAGTAAGTAAAAGTTAATGTTTAAAGTTAGATATCATATGGTGCTTTATCTTTCATAGGTAAAGTGTTGATAGAAGACAACCGGTTCATTGCTCCCATGGTTTCCCATCATATGAGCCCGTGGACAAAACCAACAGCTGTTGGCTCCTTCAGCCCACACATGACAGAGTTGCCAAGAAAACGTAAAGGAAGTGATTCAGATCCATCCCCGTAAGTGAATTTGTTCCTTTAACCCCATTAAATCTTTGAGTCTAGGGGGAAAAAAAAGATTACTTTTTAAATCATTAATTATATTTAATTATGTGGTAACATTTAGATAGGGGCAATTATTTATCCATCCAGCTGCCACCTCTGTCATTGACCTTTCAGTCTAACTCTGAAGGTTATTAGGTATGCAGGAGGGTCAACTAGATTTTGAAAGACACAGCAACATAAGGTTACTTTGCTTAATGTTTATGGTCACAGCGAGAGATTTGTGTTCCTAATTGAGATACTAAACCATGAGAACATCTCCCCCCATGTTTGGCTTAAAATAACAATTACTAATGAATAATATTACCTTACTCATTTATGTAATAACCGACCTTTGGTTACTGTGGCCAGTTTAATCATATAAAACTCTTGCTTTCCATATTTATTAAGCCAAGTAGATAATAAAGTCAATGTTGGAAATACTTAACAATCTCCTTATTGTTGCCCTAATGCAGATTGCAGCCCCAAATATTCCTTGATGACTTCTCCAAAGCTAGGGTTTATATGGCAGAAGTAATAGTAGAGAATAAGTGTAACACTCTAGAGCAATTTACTTTAGGCTGGGGCTTTAAACAAATGTGGAAGTTGATGGTAGTTCTCCATCATGACTGAAGGGGAAAATTCTGAGTAGGGGCAAGGTGAAGGCATTGTGAAACATCTTAGCTCTTTTTAACTCAGTTCTTCCCAGTACACTTTATAATTTAGCTTGAATTTGAAAGACAGCAGGATCAGAGTTATTCGAGTGTAAGAGCCAATGCACTTGCCAAGCCACATATAAATTACTGTTTTTGCTTGTCTGTAGTCTTCATTAGTGTGAACGACCATAAATAATTGCAAATGACAGTCTGCCTAGTAGTTTGATGTTTTACATTCTAAATCATCGATAGCACCCACTTACCCAAGCTAGAAGTGACTGTAGTCCTCTTTATTTTCTTCATTTTTCTTTAGAATCTTAAACACCATTGTCCTTTTTTAGTACCTAAGATTGTGGCTGTTGACGTGAGAGCAGTGAGTACTAGAGGTAACAGTTTTATGTCACGCAGGCGGCATGATTGTAGCGTTATAGTGGTTTGAAGAATAAATGGGGTCAGTGGTAGAACAAATATTAATTAGAACCATGCAAAGCACTGACAAATAATGATTTTTTGGCAGAAGACAGCACTGATGATTATCTAGCCATTGCCCAGAGTTTAGATGAAGAAACTAGGACTCAAATATCAAGTGGCTTTCCCAACATGATTCAGTGCTGGACTGCCTGAGTGTTGGGGTGGTAGTTTCCTCATCACACCCCGCTCCCGTCTCTCTCACTGGACAGGGCAGGGCACTTTGGGCACTTGAGGACAATCATGCTGTGACTCCAGGCCTCCTTCCTTCAAAAAGTGGTGGAAAAGCTTGCTCAGAGTTCCTTTAACTCTCTCCTTTCAACAAGGATAGAAATATCAGCATCCAGTGGCAGCAGACAGGTCCTGTACTATCTTTTAACATAATTCCTACTTGAAGAGGGCAGAAGAAGGAATAACACTGTACCGATTAGCCCATTATCTGTTTTGGAGCTTCTCCATTCTGCCCCAGTGCTTCTTTTCCATTCCACTGGAGTGATGGATATCAAAGTACTTTATGGATTTTACTAAAGTACTGATTATATAGCATCCTTCCTAGAGACTCAGGGCATGAAAACCAGTCAATAGATGTGAAGTTGATTTCATTGATGGAGCCTTAGCGTATTGAATATTTATAAACAAAGAAGAATGTTCACCCTTTTTTCACTGTTGGTTTTGAATGGCGAGCTGGTTCATCCGTCCTTCCTTCCTTCCTTCCTTCCTTCCTTCCTTCCTTCCTTCCTTCCTTCCTTCCTTCCTTCCTTCCTTCCTTCCTTCCTTCTTTCCTTCCTTCTTTTCTTTCTTTCTTTCTTTCTTTTTTTCTTCTTTATTCATTTTAGAGAGAGAGAGAGAAACATCGATGAGAGAGAACATTGATTGGCTACCTCCTGCATGCCCCCCACTGGGGATCGGGCCCACAACCTGGGCATGTGCCTTGACCAGGAATCGAACCGGTGACCTCTTGGTGCATGGGTCAATGCTCAACCACTGAGCTACACCGGCCAGGCACGAGCTGGTTCTTGAAAAGAGTTATTGATGAAGATTCCCTGGAATGTAGTCATTAAACATTTATTGAGTACCTACTATGTGACACCTGGTAGACTAAGAGGGAGAGATACAGATAAGAGGCAAGAAACTTGTACAAATGGGAAGGATACAAATTATTATTACACAGCATTAATAACTGCTATGATCGAGATCCTAGGTGTTATGGCAACAAAGTAAGTTGGGGATTTAAATAATATTGAGATCAGGAAGGAAGGACAACTTCCTGGAGATGTTGATGTTAACCTATGTTTTAAATAAAATGGAAATGAACGATTCAGAGCAGGAGGAGAGAAGATATTTTAGGTAGAAGGAGTAGCTGTGTAGAAGCACGAAGGAGCAAAGCACACGGCCGATATGGAGACAAGTGGTTGTCACAGTTGGAATGAGGGCACATGGAGGAGGGCGAGCTATGCCACTTGGGTAAACATGGACTAGGTTCTGAAGGTCTGCTGAACAAAATAATCTGAAGTTATCTTGAGTGCAATAAAAGAAGCAGAAGGATTTTAAGCATGAGATGAACTTTTCAGATGACATTTCTTAAAATTGCTTGCATTTGTACTTTAAAAACTTTATTGTAGTAAAACATATGACATAAAACTTGCCATTTTAGCCATTTAAGTGTACAATTCAGTGGCATTAGTCACACCTAATGTTGTGCACCCGTCACCACGGTCTATTTCTAAAACCTTTTCATCATCTCAGTCTGAAACTCTGTACCCATTAAGTAATAATTCTCCAAACCTCCTTTCCCCCAGCCCCTGGTAACCTCCAGCCTACTTTCTAGCTCTATGAATTTGCCTCTTCTAGATATTTCATATAAGTGGAATTATGCAGTATCTGCCCTTTTGTGGCTGGCTTATTTCACTTAGCCTAATGTTTTCAAATTTCATCTGTTTCAGCATGTGTCAGAATTCCATCCTTTCTAATGGTTCAACAGCATTCATTGTTTATATCACATTTCGTTTATCCATTCAGTTTGCTGATGGACATTTGGGTTATTTCCACCTTTTGGCTATTGTGAGTAATGTTTCCAGGAGCATTGGTGTACAAGTACCTGAGTCCCTGCTTTTGATTCTTTTGGGTATATACCTAGGAGTATAACTCTGGGTTGTATGGTAATTCTATGTTTAGGTTTTAAGAAACCACTAAATTCTTTTTCACAGTGGCTACACCACTTTACATTCCCTCCAGCAATGTATGAGGGATCCAAGTTCTCCACATTCTTGCTGACACTTGTTACTTTCCATTAAAAACAAACAAAAACTATCCTAATAGGTGATCCGTTTTCAAAGGATCACTCTGGAAACAGCATGGAGGATGAGCTGAAGGAAGAAAACCCAGCAGGCAGAGAAAACAGCTGAAAGACTTTTACTAGGAACTAGGTTTTCTGAGCATTGGTCTGAGAGTGTGGCCACGGACAGGAAGGACCTGGAAAGGGAGGGATGTGTTACGACACATTTAAAAGATGGAATCTCTTTCGATTTTGTGATGGTTTGTTAGGGAGAGCAGGAAAATAGGGAGTGTCCCAGTTTTCTGACTTGGACACCTAGATGGAGGATGGTATTACTGTTCCGTGAGTTGAGGGAAAGATGGAAAATTCAGTTGTGGACACAAAGATATGGGATCTTCAGGTAGGTGGTTGGATGTGAGGGTCTGGAACTTAGGGTCAAGGCCAGGCCTGGAGATAGACACTGAGACACCAGGATGCACAGAAAGCAGGTGTGATTGGCATGGATGCAGCCCCTGGGGGGCGGAGGGTTACTCTGGGGGTACATGGGCCTAAACACAATAAAGGGAGAAGGGGAATCCTACCCAAAATGTGAGAAGACCTGGCCCTACAGTGGAAATAGTATCTCAGAAAGCAAAGGAAGAAAGTTTCAAAAAAAGGAAGGTAGGAAAAGTGGCAAATCTGGAAAATGTTTAGATTGTATTTGCTTCCAGTTGCATTTGTCTGTGGTCGATCCAGGGAGCAGGCCTACATTTCATTCACAGTGCAGTGTAGTTTCCAGGGAAAGCTTGCGCTTTTCCAATGATAATGTGATATTTATTATGCTGCTGTAGTGTAAGATGCTACACTAAGAAATTGCATCTAAGTGATGTGAATGTTACTAATATCAGAAAATTTATTCAAATTCATATGTAAAATATTATGACTACAGACCAAATGCTAGCATGGAGAAAAAATAAAAATAGCAAATTTACTAATTACCTAGGTTTATGCTGCAAACAAAGAAATGAATTTTTTGACTGACACAATCATGCCTTTATTTTATTTTACCAGGGGCCATTAAATAAAGGTATTTAATTTGGATTTCATAAGTACGATAGGTTTGGATTTCACCAAGGGGGCAATTTCAGTGACTTAATTGTCTAAAACACCTGTAATCTGAGTAAAACAGCCAAAGCTTACATTGTGAAATTGAAGTAATATATGTCTATATATTCCAGACATTGGAAAGAGAATCATTCACCTGTGGAATAATTTTCTGTTTTAGTTCCCAAATATGAGGTAGGCTGAAAGGAGAAAAGAAAAGAAGCTGACTTAAATAGCACTTACCTTTTTTTAAGTAGAAAATATTAAAAACTCAAAATAGTTCAAAGATAGGTCAAATATTTTTTCAAAGCCTAGCAAATGGTCAATGTTGAGTCTTCCAAGAAGAAAATTTGGCAAGATGAATCAGAAAGCTGAAAATAGTTATCCATAAATTGTTCTTCTAGGAGTTTATCCTAGGAGAATAATTGGAGATGCATGTACCACTATGTATTAACTATATTAGTTATAATATTAAGATATTAGAATGTTGAAACATCCAATAATAGAAAATGTTTAAATTATACTATAGATAACCAGTGGGCTGTGATGTAATCATTTAGATCATGTTCTCCAAGAATATTTGAAGTTATGGGAAAATATTTATGTGATGTGTTAAGTGAATGAGACAAGATATGAAAAATTTAGGATCTGAATTTTTGTAATATATGTAATATATATACACACATAGAATATACAGAAACGTCTACATAAATGCACCCTACACACATACTATGTCTAAGTTAAATAGTCAAAGCTGGTTTTTGTATGTATCTAAATACATGTTTAGAAAGAGACCCATTAAACTACTAACTGTGATTATTTCCAGGTGAGATTATGGGTGCTTTTCCTGAATTTTTCAAATGTGCCTTCAAAAAAATGATACATTTGGAAATAATTTTTTAATGTGGAAAGTATTCTGTCATCATTAGTATTTTTCAATTTGGTAGTTGTCTGGTGATTAAACTTCTAAATGAATACATACACACTTATATATAAATATTCACACATATATGTACATTTAGTATATTCTGGTAGGGAATATACTAATGTGACAATATTATTGACAAGTGACCAAAGTTTTCAGTTCAATATTTCTTATCAAGATGAATTTTTAGGCAAAATAAATTTCTTTTGATTAAAGGTCTAAGACTTTTACTTGATTTTCAGGCTATTTTAATACAGCTACTATAAATGTTTGCTTAAGCCATCAATTGTTTATTTCTATGAAAATTATATTCTTAGTATTGGCATGGGGTCATTTTTAACTAGGGCACCACTTGTTGTCATCAATTAACATGGTTTTTGTTCCCCTGACAGGGATGATGCACTTGTCGGCTTCAGTAGGAGAACAGCTCAGGTGGACAGTAAAAAGCATTTCAGGTCATTAGGAGCTCACGATAGCATTTATAACTAAAGACTTACTAGGAATTAGGTTGATTGGACTTAATTTCACATTTATTTCTCTCTCAAGAATTATAGAAAAGCTGTTTTATGTCGTCGTTTGATATGTTATCCTGCCCTTTTGTAGCATGGAAGACAGTGAACACCAAGTAGAAATGAAGTCCTTTGGGAACACTGAACTGTTGAGATGGTCCATGGTGGGTTGAAAAGGTCACACATGCAAACCTTTAGTGAAAACCAAAGTTATGTCAAGAAAATGGATTCAGGAATATTGGGTTTTTCTCATGTTATGCTATGAAAAATAGTGATTATCAGTTACCTGTTTGAAATAAGATTTGGGCTTATGTATTATTTTCTTAGAGTAGCTGTTTATTACAAACTTTTATTTTCATTCAGCACTGGAGAAAAGCTGATTCATGCTATAAAAAAAATCAATTACCTAAGAGAAGCATGTGATTATTAGGAATCCATCATGACAAAACTTTTTGTCAATTGTTCAACATCAACAACATTTTTTTCCACATCTGCAACATGGCCAGTTCTCAGCTTTGCTTTTTGTCCATTTATTCTGTTTTATTGATATAATTCTACCAAACACTGACATGGTTCAAAGTGGCAGTAACAGTATACAGCATTAAGAGCCAGAGCCCTGATATATTATTAAAGCAGAAACTAGCCTTTGGGTAAATATGCCTTTCCTTAATAAAACCCCCTAGAAATCTTTTCAGTTTTATCTCCAAGTAACGTACCTTATTCAAAAACTGACTGTTTTGCTGTGAATTTCCTAGCTTCCACCACTACCACTTGTTGTTCTCTACAGTGGCCTTGCTCTCACCCCCCTCCAAACCCCAGCTCAGAAAAAGAACACCCCTTCTTCTGCTGTACATCCCTGGAACCAGGCATCTCTGTCTGTTGCTACTGTCTCTTCTAATGGGTGATACTGGTAGAAAGAAGAGGTGACTGTTCTAGCAAGAGGGTAACTATAACCTTCTTTTAATCATAGAATTTTAGTCTAAAATGTTGCTCATGAATAGGACAAAGTATGAGTAGATAACTAAATTTTATGCAAACACACATGTAATTTGCATCCCATCCAGTTTACCCAAAAGTACATATTTTTTCCAGGAGTGGCACTGCCCAAGAGGGCATGGTTGGAGGAGGGGGAAGGAGGTTAGCGTCATCTGTTTCCATCGGTGCTTCTCCCCATTTCTGTGTTGAAAAATTACATGTTCCTATATGTAATTTCAAGTTACTATAAAAAACAGATCAAGGCAGGTCTTTCCCATCAGGTTGTCTCCTGGAGTTGTCATGATCTGAGTGTTGTAGGAGAAACTTACAGATGTTTACAGTTCAGTGTGAAGAGTAAAATAGCCTAATCCTTGAAATCTAAGATGTACAGTTCCCCCTACATTTTATCATCTATGAAAATGTCTTATCAGTGGCATTTTCCTGTTACATTGGCAGCATTTTCCCGTTTTTGTAATGCATTAAATAATAGCGCATCTTACAATTGGTGGTGGCTTAGATTTGATGAAGTATAGTAGTGGTGTAAAAGGTACTGAGCTAAGAGAGGGAAGTGATTAATCATGCAGTAGTCAAAGAAGGCTTCTCAGAAGAATACCTGAGCTGGGTTTTGAAGGAGTAGGGTTTTTCCAAGAACATAGAAGGGAAAGCCTTTCTAAGCCTAGTCAAGAGCAAGACATGAAGGAGATGTGAAATGACGTGGCATGTTTGAGGACTAGCGAGTCATTTGGCATTGCTGCTGTGTAACATTGGGAGCTAAAGGGGAAACTCATAGAGAGGTGAAGCTGGAGATGAAGGGGTGAGCCAGGGGGTGGAGAAATTTGGGGTGTCATTAGGGAGTTTGGCCATTCCTCCTGCGCATGGAAATGCATTTTGGTAGTTTTATGCCATGAGATTAGATGATTCGATTTGTTGTAGAGCACAATTCTGGAAGTAGTGGGTAGGACAGACTAGAAGGGGAGGACACTAGAAGAAGGAACATGAGTTTAAAAGCCTTTTTGGGTTGGTGCAATGAGCTGTTGTAGGTGACAGAGTGGGTGGAGAGAAGGCTTATTTAAGAAATATTTTTAAAAAACTGGAATCTACAGGAGTTTGTGAGTATTTGGCACCTCGGGATGAAGAAGAAATGGCTAGAATGAGTCTAGTGGTGTCACTAACCAAGATAAAGGCTACAGAAAGAAGGGTAAATCAGGGCTTGTGGAGGAAGGAGAATTAAAACGGGGTCAATTGCAGAGAATGGGATTCAGTTTGGGATTTCTTGAGTTTTAGGGTATTTGGGAATCGGTAAGGTGCATAATTTTAGTTCCAAAAGTCAGGACCTGGGTAAGGTCTAGGGATTTAATAGTAAGTAGCTTATGAGCAGTTGTGAGGTCTTTTGAGGGAATGAGATCTCCCAGGGAGAAGCTATAGGGGGCGGGAAGAGGGGGGCACACAGAAGATCTTGGGACACAGGTGTTTAGGGCTAGAAGGGCGCAGTAAAGAGCCCAAGGGGACTGAGCAGAGCAGGAGGGGTCACAGCAGCCAGTGAAGGATGAGGAATGTCAGCAGTGTCAGACTCAAGGGATTGGATATGATAATAGTCCTTGCTCGAATAGTTTTAGTGGAGAGAGGATTGTGGAAGGTTCGCTTTGAATAGATGAAGTGCCTGGGAAGTGAAAGACTGAGTGGAGACTGCGCATGCTCAGGAAGCTGGCCGAGAAGACGACTGTAGCAAGGAAAAGACCCTAGAAATAGGGAAAGGTTTTTTTGTTTGTTTGTTTTTTTGAGGAAAGAGACTTGAGCACCTTTGTAGACCCATGAGAAGGAGCTATGAAAGAGAATGAGGTTAAGATGCTGATAACTGTTTAAGCAAATACTGCAGAGGAGTGAACTTTGAATAAAAGGCCACCCAGTCTTCCTCTGACTGGAGGGAAGCAAGAAGACCACCCACCGGGGCTCTCAGACAGAGGTCTAGTTCTTGAAGGTTTCAGGAAGTAAGGCGGGGTAAGGAAGGAGCAAGGGTCGTGAATTTTATGTGCTCCTCCTATTCCCAGCAGCTCCTCCTTCCTCCTCGTAGAGCTACTGCAGGTGGGAGGGGCGCAGGTGGGAGGGGCGGCCACGCCCTTGGCCTCCACAGGCGCTCCCGCTAGTGCCTCCCGGGTCACTGTGGGTCTGCGGAATGTGAATGTTAAAGGATGTTCTTTTTCCTCCTCAGAGATGCTCACAGCCAAACCGAAAAACGGAGGAGAGATAAAATGAATAACCTGATCGAAGAACTGTCCGCAATGATCCCGCAATGCAAGCCCATGGCACGGAAGCTGGACAAACTGACGGTTTTAAGACTGGCCGTTCAGCACTTGAAGGCTTTAAAAGGTGAGTTGGCAGATGGCCTCCACACCTGGCTTTGTGACACCCTCCCTGTGACTGAGATCCCTGGTGGGCTTGGCTTGTTATTGGCCATCGAGATGTTACACAAAGGTGACTTTCAGCTTTAGAGGCATTAATTTGATGCTTTTCCATATTCTCTATGAGGAGAGCATGCTAATTTGGTTGACAGCTTTATCTTCAGCCTACTGTGTGTGAATTTGAAAAGTCTTCGCATTTCTACTTGTTTTCCCATGTATAATTTTTTTTTTTTTATCCTCACCCGAGGACACTTTTCCACTTTTTGTTCAGATAGAGCGGGAGGGAGAGAGAGGAAGAGAGAGAGAGAGAGAAACATCGATGTGAAGGGACACATCGAGTGGCTGCCACCCGCATGACCAACCAGGGCCGGGGACAAACTGCAACCGAGGTACGTGACCCTTAGCGGGAACCAAACCCGGGTCTCTCTGTACCGCAGGCTGACACTCCAACCGCTGAGCCAGACCAGCCAGGGCTCCCATGTATAATTTGAAGATAGTAATGCCTACCATCCATACCTCTCAGTATGTTAGAAGTTCTGAGGTGTAGTATTAATTATTATAGTTTTAAGTTCTTGGCAGATTTTCATTCTTAGAAAAGAAGATCTCCTTAAATTCAGTCAATTTTTCTTAAAACTTCTTTCAGATTTATAAGCAGTAGCTCCTTAAAATGCATCACACTGTACCCTTCTAAGGAATTCTCCCATGTAGTAGACACGGATGGAGGAGATCCTCCGCTATTGCTTCTTGGGTATGCATGGTCACTTCTGACCTGAGCAGTTCGCCAACTTGAGCTTGAATTTGAAATCAAAGTGTGCGTGTGCTTGTGTGTAGTCAGATCGCATCTGGTGTGGGAGTAACCCCAGTCCCACGCGGGAGGCAGTATGACAGAAATAGAGTTGAGTTTTAGATGTGGGAATGTTGACATCAATAGATATGGAGAAGCCCTGGAAGGCATGAGCTGCAGGCCACCGAGGAGACTGAAAGTTCAGATTTGTAAAGATCTAAATGATCATAGTGAAATTTGGTTCTTTTTAAGCCCCACCCCCCAAAAAGGAATAAGCAAAGGATGACCAAAGGTCTTTTTTGGATTTCTGTCCTCCTACACTGCCTGCAGGAAGAGGAAGTTAGAATAGAGGGGCTTGGCCAGGTGGAGGGAAAGTGGCTTTGGGGAGAGCAGTGTTAACCTGGACGCCCAGTGCAAACTGCAGCCCGGACAAAGAGGGTGTTATTTCATAATGAACAAAAAAATCCTGGCAAATCTGTTCTGATTGAAAGAGGTAGGCGAGAGGGGAGCATATACAAATTAGGAAGTGAAATTACAGACAGCTATTAAAGGCCTGCTTAATAGTAACTTGTGCCAGTTGTAAAAATAGATACTTTAAATCATCTTCCTTAGCACTCCACATATGGTAGAAAAATGGCATCTGCACTGCACCCCGCTGACTCGGACTGGTCTGGAGAGGAGGCAGTGGGGGGAAGTACAGCCCTCGTTCCCTTCAAGGCCATGCAGAGCAGCTCCTGTTGGGATGCTGCCTGGCAGACTGGTGGTCTTATTGTCCTGTCTATTGTGAAATGAGATAAATCAGAATCTCTTTTACCTACTACTAGGTCTTGCATAAGTTGCATGCAATGTTTCCCTTAAATCTTTTAGTAGTGAACATTTGCAGGCTCAACTGAGGTCATTTGGTTGCAAACCCAAAATTACCCAATACTTTTTACATTTGCAATGTCCTGAGGGAGAAGCCATGAGTCAATCAACTAATTCAACCAACATGAACTAAGCGTCGACGAAGCCCCTGTTCTGTGCTGGGATATAAAATTGAATGAGGCAGGATCTCTGCACTCAAGGGGTTCACAGCCAGTTGAGGGGGACAGACCCATGAAGAGGTCCAGTGGGATAAATGTTACAGTGGAGGTATGAGTGAGGGAGAGTGGGAAGAAGACACTGGCTACACCCAGAGAGGATTTCTTGGAACAGAGCATAGATTTCGCCATCGGCCCTTCTGAACCAAAGTGAGGATGTCAAGTGCTCATCACATGTCCTGAGCAGACCCTGTAGTGAGTGCTGCCACCAGTGAGATGACCTCAGGCAGTTGTCTGCACTCCAGTGCACTTACCAGAGTGTACCCCCAACTTGCTCCCCATCAGACACGGGATCTTCAGAGGCTGCATGTGGATCATGTTCTTTTGGTCTATACATAAAAACTTTTTTTTTTTTGATGTTCATATTTTATTTATTTATTTATTTATTTATTTATTTATTTATGTTACAGATGTTTCTCCTTTTTCCCCCACTGATTCCCCTCTCCCTCCCTGCCCTTTCCCCAGTTTGTTGTCCATGTCCACTGTTCATGCATACATGCATATAAGTTCTGTGGCTTATCTCTCCCCCACCACCCTCTCTTCTGGGTATTGTCAGTCTGTACCCCACTCCCACGTCTCTGGGACTACCACATTCCTCAGACTGTTATGTTCATTATATTATACATAATTACTTTAAAGATAGAAGGATGGTGAAATGATTTTACTACACTCTACAGCAGTGCTTCTCAAACTATCTGGGTGAAGGGCAAGTGTTCCCCACCCCCATCTCTTATAAAATATAATAGTCGGTTACTGGAAAAATGTTCATGGGCTTGGATACCACAAGGTTACATTTCTATAATAGTGTCCAAATGCGTAATTTCTGTACTCATCTCACCATAGTTGACTGATGACACTGGTCTGCAGACCACATCTGGAGTAGCCCTGCTGTGCAGCATGTGCTTCTGGAGGCCCTGGGGCCTTCCGTGTGTGGGGTCTTAATACCCAGGACAGGGGCGCATGCCTGTGGGTCCTGGAGGCAAACCTCCTGGGTTCAAATCCTGGCTTCCTGACTTCAGTCAACATTCTAATCCTCAACTTCTTTAAAATAGAGATAATGCATTTGCCTCATAGGGTTGTTGTTAAGAGTAAAGAATAATGCACATAGAAGGTGAGCACAGTGTTCACTAATGAGGGAGGTGGTGGTGAGAGGAGGAGACATAGTTATTTTGATCGTTATTATCATCATTATTACAATTATCGTCATAGTGATCATTGTTATATTGACATTTAAAAAAATCTGATGAGCATTGTAACAAAAGTAAGTGATTATGTTTCCTCGTTTGCTTTTGCCATCAGAAATCCGAGTCAGAGTTGTTCCCCATTCGTGCTTGGCAGGTGGACAGCCTAGCACAGCATGCACTTTACTAACTTGCCTCACCCTGGCTCCAGCTAGGGTCTTACTGCCCTCTTTTTCTCTTCATCACATCCTCACTCCCTCAGGGCTTGCCCCTTCTGGCTGGTTCACACGACCAGGAATTCCCTGGCACACTCTGCCAACCTTGCTTCGGGCCAGACCTGGAACTGTCACTGCATGGCACTCAGTCCGAATCTTACCCCTTTCTCAGTGCGCTCCTAGCAGGCTGCCGTGTAGCAATAACAAGTCATTTAGGAGGTTCTTTGAGGCCTACGTAGACGGTAATTCCAAAAGAGATTTTCTTTTGCTTATGCCAGACTCTTAGGATGCTACTAGTCTGAGAGAACTTTACCAAGTCATACCATGAGGTGTTTTTTATTTTTTTGGCTTTGTCATCCCCCCCTCCCCCCATTTAGGTAATTGGTGAATTTGGGCTGTAAATCCATCCAAGAGTCAATTTGTGGTTAAAATTTCTCTTGCAAAAGCAACTCTCCTTGCAGTCCTCAGGAGGAAGGGATTAGGGCTGGGGAGGTTGGAAGGAAAAAGGGAAAATTGATTTACCTCTGAATCACCCTCATCCAGAGTTTTCTGGGAACAGCACACCTTGGCTTGGTCGACTGTCTCCTGCGCCCCCTTGTGGTCATGAAGGGCTTTCCTGTGTCGAGGTTGGTGGAAGTCCTCAAGACACCCTCATTTTGATGTGATAATTCCTTATTAGCTCTTCAGTTGCTTCAGAGACTCATTTTATTACATTAAGCTTTGTGCTAAGGATGTAAAATTAATTATTTTATTTATATTCTATATATTCCTGTATATTATTCGAAGTCTCCATGTGATCTTTGAATGCAAAATCCTATGAATCCATGAAATTTGTTTAAAATTCCAGAATCTCCCCATTCAAGGTAATTCATATGATCAGTTTTCATAAACCAAGATACTATAAAAAATAACTTGATTTTTGAATATGGTTACTTATTGTATTAGTTAAATTTTTTTATATACAGCTCTTCCTGTCTGCACATTTGAATCTATAAAGGAATACGTTGTGCCAAGAATTACCATCTAAAAGCAGGAATTTTTAATCTAGTAATAACAAAGAAAGAGAACAAGTCTAGAAGAAGTCTTAGAATGTGCTAAAAGAGAAAATACCATCACCAACGGCAGCACTGCTGATGTTAATTGAGCACCTACTGCATTTCCAACCTTATTCTATTTTCAGTAACTTTTTACCTTCTTTTTAGGTATGACAAATTCTTATGCAGGAGATATTTATCAACCTTCATTGATTCAGGATAATGAGCTCAGACACTTAATCCTTAAGGTAAGTAAAGAAATATGTCTGTCTAAGTTGTATTTGCACTTTCATTTTTATTTGAATGGGAGGCAGATTTTCTTCAGTTTGCTTTTTGTTATAAACATACAGGACTCTATATTACACCAAGTTTCCTTTCATATAAAATTTAACTTATTCAAGTAACCATGTCTTACTGGCTCGGGCTAATAAAAGTAGAGAGGGAAGTGAGGCATTTTCTGAAATATGGTACGATGCTTGTCTTTAGGCAGTGTAAGGAGCTTAGCACTGATGTACTCACCTTCCACATGATAGGATCTACTGCTCACTGTTACCTCCTTCAAAGCCATCTGTCTTGTATCCTATTCTGTCAGGATCCTGTTCTTTGCCCATTAGCCAGTCACTGTTTGATGCTTGGCATGGGTTTTCAGATTCCCTGGTCTGCAGGTTTGACACGGAAAATATGACCATGGCCTTGGCCCATCCTGCCCTCAGGAGGCAATCAGTGTCTTGATCTTGTGCTGTGACTGATTCAACAGAAAGAGTCTTCATATACATGTTTATCCATTTTTCTTTTAACTTTTTTTTAAGTCCCTCTTTTACTTGAACAGCTGAATTTACATATAATATTTGTCAGGAATATGAAGGCTTTTATTTGCAGACGACAAAAATATTTTTAAAGACTGAAATATACAGTACACTTTGAAAGTTTTCTTGCCAATTTTTGTGGGTTTTTTTCAACCATAACTTAATAGAACCCTGGTTCCACCCCCGTAGATCGTGTCTGCCTGATTCACCTCGTGTTTGTTTCCGGGTGGTGTAATTAGTTTAGGAATGTCAGGTGGGAATGCCAGCCTCCCCCTCTGTGTCCGTACATACCCATGTTCATACAGGTTGCTCCACAGTATGTGCTGGGTACAGCTTGTAGGAGTCGCTGAGATACTAGAATTCTTAAAACTTAGTTTCAATTGATAGCTTATCATTATTCAGAAAGTATAAAAAGGGCCCGGCTGGTGTGGCTCAGTAGTTGAGCATCGACCCATGCACCAAGAGGTCACCGGTTCGATTCCTGGTCAGGGCACATGCCCAGGTCGTGGGCCCGATCCCCAGTGAGGGGCATACAGGAGGCGGCCGATTGATGTTCCCTCTCATTAATGTTTCTATCTCTCTCTAAAATCAATAAAGAAAAAAAAGTATAAAAATGTATACAGTAAAATATTTTGTCCCTTCCTCATCCCCAATCTGCACATCTTTCCATGTCCACACATGCACAGGCAGCGTTGTTACTGATGTGTTTTGGTCTCTTTACAGAGTTTCTGATGCAGTAGTGTAGAATTTGGCATAGGTAATTTTTATATTATGAAATAGTTCAACTCCATTTTCACACTTCCCATGTGAAAAACATTAATTCAGACAAGGGTCCAATTTGATGTTCTTTATAAATCTATATACATCTTAAGAAAATTTCTTAAAATTAATTTTACTACATACATCTATGACCGCTCTTAGTTTTATTGCTATAATAATTTCTCAGAAACTGAATGTGTGTTTGTAAGAGACAGATGACATTTTTAAAAGTTACTTTTATATTTTTATATCCTAGACTGCAGAAGGCTTCCTGTTTGTGGTTGGATGTGAAAGAGGAAAAATTCTTTTTGTTTCTCAGTCAGTCTCCAAAATACTTAATTATGATCAGGTATGCAAAACAGGATATTTTTTGCACTATGTTTTTTGAACAAACAGATTTCAGGGCTCTCTTTCTGAACCCTTTCTTCCATTGGGCTGTGGGGTTAGGTCTGCTGAGTCAGAACTCCGGGAGGGATGGGAAGATCTGTGGAGTGGGTATGGATTGTCATTTCTTTTTTTATAATCCTCACCCGAGGATATTTTTACATTTATCTTCAGACAGAGTGGGAGGGAGAGAGAGAGAAACATTGATGTGAGAGAGACACATCAATTGGTTGCCTCCCGCACAACCCTGACCAGGGCACACGCCCTTGGCTGGAATCGAACCTGGGACTCTTTGGTCCGAGGGCCGACGCTCTAACCACTGAGCTAAACTGGCCAGGGCTGGATTGTCATTTCTGACAAGAGTGTTCACTTCCCGACAGAGGCGCAGACCCAGAAATCCTCTGCATTCTGGAGAAGTGGGAGGGGAAGTGGGAGGTGTCCCAGGTTGGATTTTGTTTCTCAATAGTATGGTAGATCTCTAAGTTACACCATAAAATCACAACTATTCTGTGACTTCCGTATGATACCGTAATATACCAGCTTTACCAAGGACAAGGTTTAAAGTAAATCATAACATGATTTAGGAGTAACATATGTGAATTGGGGGATATTATCAAGAGTAATAAGAGTAGGCCGGTGTGGCTCAGTGGTTGAGCGTCGACCCATGCATCAAGAGGTCGCCAGTTCGATTCCCGGTCAGGGCACATGCCCAGGTTGTGGGCCAAATTCCCAGTGGGGGGCATGTAGGAAGTAGTCAGTCGATTTCTCTCTCATTGATGTTTCTGTCTCTCTCTAAAATCAATAAAGGAAAAAAAAAAGTAATAAGAGTAAATAGAACATCAGTGGTTAGATGCTTATGTGCATCATTATGGTTCTGTGTGCATGTATTTTTTTTGTATCTACAAGCATGACCCTGCTTCTAACACTAAGTTAAAGTCACAGTGTAGTAGATGTATCTTTGAGATTAACTGAAAGCAACTTTACCAAAAGAAAGTAGTATGTCTGTATGAGGGAAATTATGGTACTGATTTTAAATGAATGTCTACTTTATAAATAGGCTAGTTTGACTGGACAGAGCTTGTTTGACTTCTTACATCCAAAAGATGTTGCCAAAGTAAAGGAACAACTGTCGTCTTCTGATATTTCTCCAAGAGAGAAGCTAATAGATGCCAAAAGTAAGTGCTCATCTCAGTGTGCTCACCATTTCATGTAAATATAATTATTCCTTAACAGTGCAGCTATAAGGTGTTTTAGAAAAGTTAGCTGATTGTGGTTTTATCAAAAGGAGAATTATGTACAGTCGTCCCTTGTTTATCGCGGTCAATCCATTCCAGACTCTAGCGGTTGTACCTGGTGTTGAAGGATTCCTGGGGTGCTCGAATCCATAGGCCTACATTCCACACGTACAGTAATTTTCATTGTAATTGTAATACAGGGGTGTATAATTGACTTAGACAACCGAGCGCATGCTGTGTCATTTTTGCTGTCTCGATCAACTTTTTAATGAATATATTTGAAAAAAACACGATAGAGTGAAGCCGCGAAAGTCGAAGTGGCGATTGTGAACTTCACAATCATCTACCTTGGAGTTTTAAAAAACAATATAACTATATAGGGAATTCCTGTATTTGTATTACACATAAAAATAAATACTATTTCATATGAAGATGCTTTGAGGAAAATGTGATTGCTTCATATTCGTTGTTTTTCGTATGGCAATGAAATCTTTACAAGCAAGTATCTTTTGCGATAAAAAAAATGCTGAAGTTTTCATTATTCAGCTATATGCTGAAAGAAAATTATTCTCTTATGTGGATTAGGTCTATTCAGTGTGAAACACCTTGTATAATTTTGCTTGGGAGTCATAAGTATTCTTTATTTTCCCTGAAAATGCTTAGTGCCAACTAATTATTTATAATATAAAAGTAATGATGCGTTAAGCCATTGATTACTATTATAATTGAGGGTTTTTTCTTTTTTATTTAATTTTTATTTCATTTAAATTATCTTATGCTCCATCCCTTGGAGGGAAAAATAAAAATAAGTTCAAAGTTTGTTAAGTTATCAAAAATATGATTGCTTATCGCTAAAATCTGGAAACAGCCCAAGTGTCTATCAATAGATGAATGGATAAAAAAGCTGTGGTACATATATACAATGGAATACTATGCAGCTGTAAGAAAGAAAGATCTCTTATCCTTTGAGACGACATGGAGGGACCTCGAGAATATTATGCTAAGTGAAATAAGCCAATCAGAGAAAGACAAATATCACATGATCTCACTTATTTGTGGAATATAATGAACAAGGTGGGCTGATGAACGAAATAGACCCAGAGACATAGAAAAGAGTACGGTTCAGACTGACAAACCTCAGAGGAGGGTGCGGGGGGGGTGGATGAGATAAACCAAAGAACTTATATGTATGTACACATAACCAATGGACATGGACAACAGAGCTAGGGGGATGGGGGGCAGGATGGGGAGGAGGGTGTCTGGGGGGGGGAAGAAGAAACATCTGTAACAAAAATAAATTAATAAAAATTGGAAAAAAAATATGATTGCTTAACAAACATTTCTTTGGTATATTTCACTTCCTGGCTTACAGCGATAGATATTGTTTTAAATAACGATTTCTCCTTTTTAATTTATTAAAAAATGTAATTGATGATCAGAAAAGTGTTAAGAGATCAATTTCAAAATGATTTGAAAATATTCTTTTCTGCCTGTTCTTTTGCCTCCTCCTCCACACAAGCTGGTTTGCGAGTTCACAGTGATTTCCACACGGGAAGGACCCGTGTGTGCTCCGGCTCAAGGCGATCCTTTTTCTGTCGGATAAAGTGTTGTAAAATCGCTGTCAAAGAAGAGCCCGAGTGCTTACCCAACTCAAAGAAGAAAGGTATCCTTGTGACGTGTCAAGTGATTTAAGGCATGGATACAAGATTAATGTCCTGAATAGTTTATGTACAGGAAAATAAGGCATGTGGTTAAGGCAAATAATTGAGGCCAAGAGCACCCAAGGAAAAATCTTTCAAATTTATCCAATAATTACATATTTTTTTTGTTACCCAATATTTTAATGGTGCTGTTGAAATGACAGTTCGGAGGCTATCAAATGGGAAGAGATGGAAATAAGACTTGTGTTATGAAATTCCGTTACTGCTTTTAAAGTATAAAAGTTAAGTCTTTAAAAAAAAACTGCAGTACTGCAAGAGCTTGATAAATTTCGGTGAATATTTAGGATGTTACAGGTGTCGTTTTAATTTTTATGATGTACTTCTTTGGTAGACTTCTAGTTCGGTTTTCCTGTGATTTTTTTTTTTTTTTCATTTTCTTCTTCTTCTTCTTTTTTTCTTTCTATCCTCACCCGAGGACATTTTTCCATTTTTTGTTCAGATAAAGTGGGAGGGAGAGAGAGGAAGAGACAGAAAGAGACTCATCGAGTGGCTGCCTCCCACATGCACGACCCAACCAGGCCTGGGGACAAACTGCAACCGAGGTCCATGCCCTTAGCGGGAAACGAACCCGGGTCTCTCTGGACCGCAGGTCGACGCTCTAACATCTGAGCCAAACTGGCCAGGGCGTGATTTTTTTTTTTTTTAATAGACTTGTCTTGCGGATATTTACATTTTGAATTGATTTAACACTCATTTATTTTATTTACTTGCTACATTTCAGGGACTGCAAAATGTCTCATGATGTCTTTGCCTAAGAACTATTAACCTACCCGATACAGAATTCCCTGTGCAAATTTTCACATGAGATTGGCTTTGACAGTGTACAGAGCTGCAAGATTCCGTTTATAAGTTTTGGTCAGAGTCTTTTTCAGCAACCACCTAAGATGATGATCACTAATACTCATTTATTAAGCCAGATACTGTGCTGTTTTAAACACTATTCTTACCACTGTTTTAGAATCAAGGAGGAGAGACTTAAAGAGGTTCAGTAATTTACAGACAGTGAAATGGGCAAATGCACACTCAGACCTCAGCCCCCTGCTCTTATGCTGTCCTACAAAGAAACAAGCAGGATGAATCAGCTGTGCTGAGGGCAGGTCTGTCTGTAAACCATCAGTTGCTTCTCTCGGCTCCGAGCTGGCTGTCTCGTTGTGTGGCCTTTGTGGCTGAACTCACAGCCACACGGTGGTGAAGAGCTGTGACACCACCCACGGGATCAGACTGCAGCTCTACCACCTGCTCTCTGTGCGACTGCAAGTGGTTTCTCAACGTATCCGTAAAACAAGGCTAGTCACAGGGTCGTCTGTTTTTGTGGAGTGGCTAAACGCATAGATCCTGGGGCCAAACTGTTCAGATTTGAATCCTGACTTGTGATTAGCTATGTGACTTAAGATAAATGACTAAATCCTTCTGGGTAGCTCACTCTCCTCCACTGTCAAATGAGGACAGTGATAGAACCTCCCTCACAGGGTTGTTTTTAGGATTAAATGAGTTAATAGTGTTGTGTGCTCAGCATGGTTCCTGGCATAGTAACCTTGATAAAGGTTGTAAGCCGTCAGAAACACCATTAGCAGTAACGCACCTAAACTCGGGACAGTGAAGAACAGAAGGGAGGTACCATTATTTTCGTCACTTCAGGGTTCCTGCCACGTCTTACTCAGACTAATCTTATATTGGGACATGGCCAGAGGGTATGGAAGTACTCTCCCAGGACAGGAATATGCCTTTTTTGTGGATGGTCCACGGAGTCCTACTCCATGCAGACCCTGGATTGTAGTACATGTTACCCTTAGGATTTAACTAGAGATGAGTAGATACAACCACAGTGGATCACCTGGTCTACACAGCACTCCCTAGGAGGGATAGACATGGCTAAAATCTCGGTGGTGTTTGATGCAGATAATAAATTGAATAGAGGCTAAAATGATCAAGTTCTTTGTTTTAAAGATTGCCAGATAATTTGTCTTTCCTTCTGGAGAGAGGAGTTTCCACGGACTTATTTCCTCCTAATATTTAGTCATCTTGGTGTTGGTGCCTGGCTAGTGCCCAGTGTAACCATTTCACTTCTGTAAAACCTGATTTCACCCCCGCCCTGCCCTACCACCTCACTCTTTGCTCCCTAAACCTCTCAGCCGCACAGTTTGATCTCAGCCTCTCTATCCTTTTTGAGAACCATTGCTTTAGGCCCTTCTCTCAAGTGTAAGAGTCTCTGGGAGCACAAGGAAGGAAGGAGGACGGAGGGATGCGCTGGGCAGCAGTGCCCGAGAATGCGGCCAGAGGTCTGTTGCAGGAGATGTCTCCCCCTCGTGCTTTTTCTCGCAGTTTCTCCCATCATCTTGTTTCTAACAAGTTCCCTATGTACTGGCTATACTTAAGGAAAAGTGGTAGCGCTAAGTCTGAGATCGTTACCTGTGACAGGAGTCTAATTAAACAGAGTTTGGTCAGTTGGCAATTACTCAGTCTCTGCTGTGTGCCATGTACCATAGCAAAGGGTACCCTGGAAACAGGCAGACAAGTTGTTGCTCTAGTGAACCTGATAGGGACAGGAGGCAGCCATTCGACAAGTAAATTAATAAATATTTTAGGTAGCAGACAGTACCAGGAAGTCAATAAAATGGGATAATGAGGACAGGGACTAGGAAAAAGTAGTTACTTTAGAATATCTCTCACGTGACATTGCTCTGAGACCTGGTTGGAGAGGAGTCAGCTATGCAAAAATCTATGGGAAGGAATTCCTGACAGAGGACAAGTGTACAGACCTTGGGGTAGGACAACGTGGTATTTTGGGGGATTCAACAAAGATCAGTGTGACGAGATCCTAGATGCTGAAGGTGGTGTTAGGAAGGGCAGCGGCTGGGATTTGTAGGCTCACATAGGCTCAGGGCAGTGGTGTGCTATTTACTGTTTAGTGACTGGCTTTCTGAGTATAGTTCTGATAAGAATGTTGGTTGATATTTTTCCTTTACAGTAATAAATAAGATGAAAGTGAAATTGTGAAGACATGTTGTTGGAACTTTACTCATTTTTCATTGATATGAATGACTTTGCTGAAAATGATGTCTTTTAAAAACTAGAAGATTATTTATTTAATACCTTTGTACTATTCAACACACACTTATAAATTTAATCCATTACTAACATTTTGTCTATCACTCATATAGGTCTAGACAATCAGGAAAAAAACAATCAAGGCCTGATTTATGGCTTTGCTAATTTCAAGATACCTAGGAGGTCACTGAACATGGGGTAGAGAAAGGATGTGTAACAGCACACCATTATATGGTATTGTGTTAAAAAAAGAATTACTGTAATTTTAAAAAATTGTGTTAAGCCCTGGCCAGTTTGGCTCGGTGGTTAGAGTGTTGGCCCGCGGGAGAGTCCCGGGTTCGGTTCCTGCTAAGGGCACGTACCTTGGTTGCAGTTTGTCCCCAGCCCCAGTTGGGGTCGTGCGGGTGGCAACCAGTTGATGTGTCTCTCTCACATCGATGTTTCTCTCTCTCTCTTCCTCCCTCTCTCCCTCCCACTCTATCTGAAGATAAATGCCAAAAAAAAAAAAAAAAAAAAAAAGTCCTCGGGTGAGGATAAAACAAAACAAAACAAATTATATTAAGTACATACTAGGGACCAAACACTAATCTATATGCTGGGGCCAGAGCAGTGAACAAAACAAAATTCTTGCTGATGGTGATAAGTGCTATGAAGAAAAAGAAAATATAATAAGAAGAAAGGTTAGAAGCAGACCTTCAAATCACTATTTCACAATATGTTAAACATGGTTTTAAAAAGTAATAAAGCATATCATCAACAAAATGAAGATAACCTGAATGGGAGACAACTGATGGGAGAAGATATTTGCAAATGATATATATCCAACAAGAGGTTAATATACAAATATATAAGGAACTCATACAAGTCAATAGCCAAAAGACAAAATCAATTAAAAAAATGGTTAGAGGACTTGATTAGATATTTGTCCAAAGACATACAGATGCCCAACAGATATGAAAAGATGCTCAACATCACTAGTTATCAGAGAAATGCAAATTACCACCACAATGAGATATCACTTCACATCTATCAGAATGGCTATCTCAAAAATCAATGAACAGTATCATCAATAAATCAACACACCAGTGTTTGTGAGGATGTGGAGAAAAGGGAACCCTCATGAACTATTGTAAATTGGTGCAGTATAGAAAACAGTATGGAGGTTTCTCAGAAACTTAAACATAGAACTACCCTACAACCCGACCCAGCATTTCCACTTCTGGGGATTTAGCCAAAGAAAACAAAAACACTAATTCAAAAAGATATATGCAGCCCTATTTATAATAGCCAAGGTGTGGAAGCATTGTATATGGTATATACAATGGACTATCCCTCAGCAATAAAACAGAATGAAATCTTGCCATTTGTGACAACATGAATGGACCTAGGAGGTATTATGCTAAGTGAGATAAGTTAGAGAAAGGCAAATACAGTATGATTTCACTTATGTGAAATCTAAAAAAAAAGAAAAAGCAGAAACAGACTCATAGATGCAGAGAACAAACTGATGGTTGTCAGATAGGGCAGGGACAGGTTTGAAAGGTGAAGAAATAAGAGGTACACACTTCCACTTATAAAATTAATGGACAGAACAGGGAACATAGTCAATATAATAACTCTACAGGGACAGCTAGTTACTAGACTTATCATAGTGATCACTATGTTGTATATCTGAAACTAATATTATATGACAACTATAATAAAATTTAAAAAGCATAATTATATTGCTTTATTAAATAATATGTATTATAATTTTAAAGAAAGAAGTTTTACAAATTTTAATAGAATTTGTTTTTAAAACATTGTTTATCCTTTTCTCTTTTATAGTTTGAATTTTAGTTTTGTTTTAGAATATACTTGTTAGTACAAAAGTGGATATACATCATTTATACAA